GGACGAAGGGAGGAGGAGCAGACAGGGGAGACCAGACCGGAACGGAAGGGGGACAAAGGGGAGCCCGAGGGAGCCCAGGCGGGCGACGGGCAGCGGCCGAAGGGGCCGCAGGTGAGAGGGAGGAGGGAGCAGAAGGGGACCACCCAGGGGCCAAGGGAACAGGACGAGGGAGTGACGGAGGGGACACGGAGGGAGCAGGAGGGAACACCGGTGCAGGCAGGCAGGAGGGGGAAGCCGCGGCAGGCGGAGGTGCAGGTGGAGGCGCAGCCGGAGCCGGCGAAGGCACCGTCCGACGCCAAGTCAGAGCAGGGGGGCCCGGAGGCGGCCGACACGGAGCCGGAGGCGGGACCGAGGACCGGCACCGAGGATCCAGGGGGGGACCCGGCGGAGACCGCCGACCCCGAGGCGCAGGACCCGCAGGCAGCCACCGAGCCACAGCCAGGGGCCAAACGGGCGAGCCAGGGGGCAGGGCGGGTGGGACCTTAGCCCAGCGCCTATGTCCCCGTCCCTTGCGGGACACCGAAAGGCGGGGTCCTGTGGGGCGTCGGCCTTGTCGGGGCAAGGGCAAAGGAGTCAGTAGGGCTGGGGGAACTAAAGGCAGGGCCTCTGGTGAGGCAGCAGGCGCGGCCGCAGGCGGTGCAGCCGGAGCCGCGACCAGGACTGGCTGGACGGGAGAGGCGGCCTCAGGCAGGGCCGCGGGCTGGATGGGAGAGGCGGCCTCAGGCAGGGCCGCGGGCTGGATGGGAGAGGCGGCCTCAGGCAGGGCCGCGGGCTGGACGGGAGAGGCGGCCTCAGGCAGGGCCGCGGGCTGGACGGGAGAGGCGGCCTCAGGCACATTGGGCGTGTGGCCAGCAGGGGGCACCTCGGCGGGCGCCGCAGTCACGTGGCCAACAGGATGCGCCTCGGCAGGTACCTCGGGCGTGCGACCAGCAGGGGGCACCTCGGCAGGTACCTCGGGCGTGCGACCAGCAGGAGGCGCCTTGGCAGGCACCACCCTCACGTGGCCAGCAGGGGGCGCCTCAGCGGGCGCCTCGGGCGTGCGGCCAGTAGGGGGTGCCACGGGCAGAGCGGCTTCCTCCGCTGCAGGCGGAGGCAAAGCCAGGCCCTCGGGCAGAGCTGCAGCAGGCACCCTCAGTTCCTGGCCAGCAGGGGGCACCGCCATCACGCGGCCAGCAGGGGGCGCCGCCATCACGCGGCCAGCAGGGGGCGCAACCGCGGCCACCTCGGGCAGTGCCGCAGGCAGAGCGATGGCAGCTGCAGGGACTGCATGCAGAACAGGCAGGACTGGCAGGACTGGTGGGTCAGGCGGGACAGGTGGTGCCGCGGGCAGAGCGGCGGCAGCAGCAGCAGGCGGTGCCGCGGGCAGGTCCGAAGCAGACAGGTCCGGAGCAGGCAGGTCCGGGACTGCCCCTTTAAGGGCTCTAGAGACCCGGGGAATCGCGTCTCTCACCGGGCTGATCCCTTTTCCGTGCAGGCGCTCCGGCCGGTGTGGATATGCCTCCAACGGAGGCGGCATCTCACCGTTGGGACCGAGCAGGTGGGTAGCGGCGGTGTCTTCCCAGGTAAGTATGGAGCTCCCTCGCCAATCGGCTGACTCCAGAGCAAGCTCCCAGGAAGAGCATTAGGGCTGCTTCCGCCAGTTCTCTGTTCCGCTTCTCCCGGTTGCTCGTCAGGTGCTGGCTCAGGCGGCGAAGGCATTTCCGTGCCTTTTGGAGCGGGTATTCCTGTCCAAGTCGGCGCTCCTTCCCGAGCAGGTCCGCGCCCCGGTTGGCCAGCTCCAGGGCTACAGGGTCGTCCTGGACCTCGGGCTGGGATTGCCAATACACAAATTCTTGCAGCAGCCCGAGCCGGTGATGCTCAGACTGCCGCTTTGTGCTTTGAGGGAGATCCGTCATTCTGTCACACTCGGGCGTGCAGGCGAGCGAGGAAGCAGGCAAGCGGAGCCGTTCTTACGGGTAAACAGGGGTTTTAATCAGCAAGACACACACACACGCAGGAACATCCACGGACATTACAATGACGGATCTGGAGAAACTAACTGAGACACGGACTAAATACAAAAGACTAGCCAGACATAACAGGACACAGGTGATCACAATCGGGGATGCACACGAGGTAATGAGGGGGGCGTGGCACACATCGGGATCGTACGGAGCGGGGCGTGACAGATGTCAATAAATGTATTATTTTCATTTCATTTTCATTTATCACTAGCCGGTCCCCACCAGTCATTGAGAATAGTAGGGGGCCTCTGACCATGTTAAATGTGGGTTGGAATGACATATTGGGATTTCATGCACAATCATCTCTAGGCTTTACAGAGAATGGGCTGAAAAAGAAAAAACATCCAATGCGTCGTGGTTCTCTGGGTGAAAATGCCTTATGGATGGCAGAGATCAGAGAAGAATGGCCAGACTGGTTCAAGCTGATAGAAAAGTAACAGTAACTCAACCACTAATGTATGCAGAAGAGCATCTCTGAACACACAACACATCAAACCTTAAAGCAGATGGGCTACAGCAGCAGAACACCACAGCGGGTGCTACTCCTGCCAGCTAAGACCTGGAAACTGAGGTGACAGTGGGCACAAGCTCACCAAAGTTAGACAATGGAAGATTGGAAAAATGTTGCCTGGTCAGATGAGTCCCGATTTCTGCTGCAGCATTCATATGGTAGTCAGAATTTGGCATAACCAACATTAAAACATGAATCCATCCTGCCTTGTATCAATAATTCAGGCTGCTGGTGGTGTAATGGTGTGGGGGATATTTTCTCAGCACACTTTAGGTGCCAAAGTGTCGAGTATCATTTAAATGCCACAGTCTACTTGAGTATTGTTGCAGATCATGTCCATCCCTTCATGCCCACAGTGTACCCAGCTTCTAATGGCTACTTCCTGCAGGATAATATGTCATGTCACTAAGCTCATCATCTCAGATGGGTTTCTTGAACATTACAATGAGGTCACTGTACTCAAATAGCCTCCACAGCCACTAGATCTCAATCCAGTACAGCTATGGGATGTGGTGGAATGGGAGATTTGCATCATGAACCAACAAATCTGCAGCAACTGCATGATGCTATCATATTAACATGGACTAAAGTCTTTGAGAAATGTTTCAGGTTTTGTTGAATCTATGTCACAAATAAATAAGGCAGTTCTGAAAGCAAAAGGGAGCCAAACCCGGTACCAGCAAGGGGAACCTAACAGTGGCCACTGAGTGGCTGTCATAGGAGCTCGTCCAAAGCACTTTACCACAGAAAATTAAGCTGTTTTCATTTTAGACAGGAAGGGTAATCAGTGCCTCCTATGACCCCTAACTATCTAGTAGGTGCATCAGAAAGATGGTCCTTCGCTTGACAAAGGTGGCCCATCCTCTTTCTGAGTCTGGACTGGCACGCTGGGCGCCACAGAAGAAGGAACCAGAAGCAAGTGAATGGGGACAGAGATCAAACTGATCTGCAGTGCCGGGTTCTAGCAGAGGAGCTTCAGGAGCGAATAAACTGACAGTGAATATAACTGATCAAAGAAAGAAGAGGAAGGCAATGACAACTGACTTTGTCATAAGCTGTGTTTCCATTACATTTCTGTGCAAATTGTAAGCAAATTTTCTATAAGCTGACAAAATGAAATTGCAAATAGGATGTGTTCCCATTAAAGGATGTCATGAGAAAAATACCTGCCATCTATCACCCCATGAGATAAATTCACATCTCGTACTTTAACACACAGGGGTCTTATGTTATATGAAAAAACATTGCTTAAGTCTGTGGCTAAAGCATGTCCCATTTTTGTGCTCGACGAGGAAAGTTATAGGATGTGATATGAGAGGTGGGGTTGCTTCAGTGTGCATTGGTGGTAAATGAATGGAACTCTTGTGAATAAAGAGCCATTTACTCAGCTCAGAAGGCAACAGCTGTAGACCTATGCATGGTAAAAGCATTATATTTGTATGCCAATAAATAATGTCCCATGAGTAATGTAAATTGTTGTTATTGTTTTAATATAGCATACTGCACACAATTTTCCATACCTAACTCTCTACTAATATGTGAAATTCTGTTTCCATTGCAGTTTGTGAATTACTTTTTTCAACCTTCCACAGAACTCACCTCAAGTAAACATGAAAACTTTTTTCCAGCGTTTGAGGGTTTTACAAAAATCGGAGCTTTCCATTAACGGTTTTTCAGTTCGTATCTTCAAGTGGAGGCGGCTAACTGTGCTCCAGGGAACATTGTGACTTCTGTATAACCCATGTAATGTATTTCTGCTCACTGAATTACAGCCTCCTTAAACGGCCACCACAGATAAACATGTCCTCGATATGAACCATCGAGAGAAAAGCAAGCTGTCGAGGTTCAGAAGCAGTGATATGGAGACTGAAGGAGAGAGTTCTTAGAAATCTCTTTTTGCTAAATACCTCGATAGGAAAAACAGTTCAGTCAGCTGATACCATATCAAAGTACACCTCAATATGTGTCGACTGATACAATATATGGGCAAAAGTACTGGGACAACTGGCAATTATAACTACAGGAACTTTTATGAAATCCACAGATGGTCCCCCTTGTGCAGCTATAACAGCTGCCACTCTTCTGGGAAGGATTTCTGCAAGATTTTGGAGTGTGTCTGTGGGATTTTTTTCCCCCATTCATCCAGAAGACAATTTGTGAGGTCAGGCACTGATGTTGGATGTGAAGGTCTGGCTTACAGTCTCTGTTCTGTTTATCCCAAAGGTCTTTGATGGGGTTGAGTTCAGGGCTTAGTCAAGTTCTTCCACACCAAACTCATCCAACCATGTCTTTATGTACCATGCCCTGTGCACTGGGGCACAGTCATGCTGGAACAGAAAGGGCCTTCTACAAACTTTTCCCATGAAGTTGGAAGCATAGAATTGTCCAAAATGTCTTGGTTTGCTGAAGCATTGAGAGTTTCCTTCACTGGAGCTAAGGGGCCGAGCCAAATTCCTGAAAAACAACCCCATACAATTATCCCTCCACCAAAGTTACAGTTGGCACAATGCAGTCAGGCAGGTAATGTTCTCCTGGTATCTGCCAAACCTGGACTTATCTATCAGACGGCCAGACAGAGAAGCAGCTGCTTGGCCATGGAAGCCCATTCCATGAAGCTCCCAGTGCAGTTTTTATGTTGGGCTTAATTCCAGAGGAAGTATGGTTCTCTGCAGTTACTGAGTCAACAGAGCCCAGGCAACTTATGCACCACGCGCCTCAGCAATCGGCAACCTAGTAAACCTGATGGCATGGCTAGATGCTTCATTTTATACACCTGTGGCAATGAGTCTGAATGAAACACCTGAATTCAATGATTATGAAATGTGTCCCAATACTTTCCATATGGTGTATGTCCAGTTTATTGTGTTTTTAAAAGAAATGACTTAAATCACTTCCTTCCTTTCAAAAACTGCCATTAGTAATAAAAAATAATAATAATAAAGCAGCCAAAATGGGCTGTGGTGCAGTGGTTAGCACTGTTGACAGACCTATGGGAACAAGGTTTGAGTCCCTGTCCTGACCCTGTGTGTGTGTGTGTGTGGGGTTTGCATATCTCATCAGGGGATTTCCTCAGGGTACTCCGCTTTCTCCCCCATTTCAAAAACATGTTGATGTTAACTGGAGTTCCCACGCTGCCAGTAGGTGTGAGTGTGCCCCCCCTGGGTTATTCCCTGCCTATAACCTGTGGCCTCCAGGATAGGCTCAGAATCCCCCCAACCTGGAAAAGGACAGGCAGTTACAGAAGATGGATAGTGGCAAAAATATATGGTAATACTTTATTCTGAACTGTGACAGTAATATTTCAGGAAATAGCTATCTTAAGCACAAAAAAACCACAAAAGACAGATTAGGTCTTGCATATTTACTTTTCACAGAACATGCTTCTATTTCCTAGGTATTTTCTTGTTTAAACCAGTGTACACAGTGTTGGTACAGAAAACTTACTGTGAATTTGCAAGTACATTTGGTATAAACTGCAAATGACACTATAGCCATGTAATACCCAGCCACAGCAGCACAGGTTCAGGAGTAGGCAGGCAATCCCAGTACGCTCTGTAAAATTGCCAAATGGATCAGTTACTGTTATTGGCACCCCTGAATTTTCCAAATGACATGTACAATATCTCCTGAAAGAAATGTGTAGTGGAACAGGTTTGGTGTAAATACACTCATATGTTTGATACAGAAGAGTACAGGATTAAACTATAACAATAAAAATAAGGAGGGAAAAAGATGAAAACAGAAACACTGCTATGGCAAGAAAATTGGCACCCTTTCTGAAACATTCAAATATTTGGAAAAAAAAAACAGATTTTCATTGCAGTGAAATTAGACTCACCTGTGACAAATTTTTAGTGCTCATGACTTGAATTATTCAATTAATAATTTAATGCTTAAAAGGGCCACTGTTAGTCTTTTTTACAGTGGTAAAAACAAAACAGATCTATCTGAGCCATTCTCACCAAGCATAAGGATGCTGAAGAGTACAAGGCCATCTCCAGCAGCTTTGGCATCCCTGTTTCAGCAGTTTGCAATGTTACTTAGAAGTTTGCTGCATGAAACTGTCAGGAACCTCCAAGGACACAGTGGGTGGATTAAAATTAATCAGCAAAGTCTTCAAACGGAAAAAGAAAAATGCCACATAGGCTGATGGTCTCAACCCGTACCATATGCCACACACTAAACCAAGAAAGGCTTTATGGGCAAAGCGCAAGATGAATACCACTAGGTTACATAGAGACCTAAAACCTACCTAGTGAAACCACAATCCTTCAGGGAGAATGTTCAATGGACAATGAAGACCAGCGATTTGTTTTAGGCCGACGAAATGAAGCTTATAAGAAAAATAACAGCCTGCCTACAGTTATATATGGTGGAGGTTCTGTAATGCTGTGGGGCTGCTTTGATGCCTCTGGTACTGGAGGCCTTGAAGGTATTAAAGGGATCATGAAATCAGAGGATTACTGAGGGACTGTAGAGGGAGATGTGCTACCCAGTGTCAGAAAACTAGGTTTGGCCAAAGATCATGGATCCTCCAATGGCACAACGATCCAAACACATAAAGTGACTTGACATCCAGAAGAATAAGAGCTGGAAGAAACTACAGTTTCGATTACTGTGCACTAACTCACAAAACAAGACACTGAAAATGCTACAAATTGACTTACGGTATGATCCATAATTCATTCAACACATCAATTAGTGCTAAAGTTCTCCTTGAAAGACAGGCAACCTAAAAGGTCATGCTTTCTTCAGTGTGTATGAAAATGGGAGGAGCAGGAGCTGACGGCAAAATGCCCAAACAAGGCCCACAAAAAGATCCACATGAAATGTATTTCAGAGCTTTTCTATGCTGTTTGGCATGAAAATACAATTCACCGACTGCAGTATATATGTTGAAAAGACACTAAAAACCACCCATTACTGACTGTCCCTGCAAACAAACTGTAATATATGAGTGTGAATTGACGCAAGTAATCGGCTAGTGTAACTGAACAACGGCTTAAAAGCACACACACTGCTGACAGCTTCATGAAGGATGACTGGCACATGAGCATGATCAGATTTCAAGAAAACAATCCAGTCTCTGCTTTCAGTCATTTGGTTCCTCATCCACCTAGATCTTCAGTAAGAAGTTTTTTTCCGGGGGGCTTGTCTGGCTGATCCTAGGTGGCATGTGGTACCGCAGATGTTTCCAGAACCTGTCAGAGGCCCGTCCTCTATCCATGGTCCCTTCCTCACTGCTCCTTCCCCACCGCACTGCACCCTGTCGGCTCCGAAGGTACTGCATGGCTTTGGGGAGGACCGTGCTGTCAACTAACTCCCCTAGTTCCACTAGGATGGCTGGGACCGTACTCTCCACGAGAGCGGCATGGACGGCCAGCTGCCGCTCCAAACTCTCAGCAGCATCCGGGTGGGAAAGGGAGAAGGCAGAATACAGCAGGAGGAGGCGCCGGCTTTTCCCGATGTTTTGCTGGACCACATCTGCCACCGCTGAGAAGAGAGAGGCCCGTGAGGGATGTGGTCAGTGACAAGCATGCAGGTACGCCCACATATAAAGCTCTAACGATGGCGCAAGACAAGAGACCTGGATGTTTATCTGTACAGACACTATCATAAAGACACTAAATAACATCCTTTGATGATAATTCATGACCTTATATGGGAACCCCTTACTAGTGCTTTATTAGCAAAAAAACAAGCCAATATAGAATCTGAGAGCTGCATCTTCTATCAATGTACATATGAAGCTGTGTTTTTTTTTGTCATAAAACCTTATATACCAGAAGCTTGCTAGTTGGTCTATTTGACAGCCGCCATAAGACTGCAGTAGGCTCACCTTCGCCCGGCAGGCTTTCCCGCCCCATGATAAAAAGCCTGTAGCCCAACTCTCCTTCCAGGACCTCGGGCAGGATTCGGAGAGCAAATTCCTCAACAGCTCTACAGGTCTGGCCCCCGCAGACAGCCCCCCCACACGACCTCGGGTAAGCTACGTAGGCATCATACAGCTTCCCGTCGCATCCTGTTGGAGACGAGTGAACACCAACAAAAACTCTCATTGACAATGGCTCGAATTGTAAGAACAGTTTTATTGTAAATTGTTGGGCTCCCTGTTTTTCCTCAGTATCTGTAATCTGTAGTATTGTTGGCAGCAAAACACAGGCCAGTTTGTGTATTTTTGTGTGATGGGCGAGGCATAATCTTCTATATAAATGACTAATTAAATGACTTTGGTTAACCAATGCCAAGTTACATTTACCCACATATGAGTGTATTATGTCACCATGAGGTATGGAATAGCCCCCAAAACCTGGAATTCAGATATTCAACACACTGGGGGCCAACCTGGGTCTGGGTAGAGACATGGGAAGGAGCTCCTGAACAACAAGGCCACCTCGATTTTAATGATCCGCCACATGGCAACGGCAATGATGAAGATCAGAGCTGGACTGCCAAAGAACAGGCCCACAGAGAGGAGGTGGTTCGGTTCTGCTCAAAAGCACAGATAAGGGGAGAGTTCTTACACACTGCAACACCATTTTCAAAAGAGGGGAACTGACAACCATCTAGAGGGATGAGTCATACATAAAAAGTGTAGCTTCTTGGTATGAATGCAATTCGGAGAAACATTTAGCTGGATTTACATCTTTTTCACAAGTGTACAGGCAGTCCCCAGATTACGAGCGAGATCCATCCCTAAGTCTGACTTTAAGTCGAGTTTATGTGTAATAAAAAGAAATATCATATAGTACATAATAATAATAATAAAAGTGCAGCATGCATGCATTATTAGAAGCCACTGTATTTGACCCAATTTTTTATACAATAGACTTTATAGCAGTCAGTAAGTATGAGTTGTCTGTAACTCACACTGCCCATGGTTTAAAACTGATGACCTACATTACAAATCACCGATGAAGCTGATAATTATCCTTTCATGTGAAAGAAGTTTCACTGTGGCTCTGAGCCGAATGGCAACATGAAGGGCAACCTCTGCTGTAAAGGAAGCCTTCTTGTTTGAAAAGAAAATGGCCATCCTGTGGTCTGAGCTCTGGAGACATGGTCACCCACCTGAAGGCAGTAAGGTGAAGTTAGCAACAACAAGTCCCTTGTCATTGAAGACCATACACCTGTATGTGTTGTAGAAGTCTTCTTTCTCCACTTCAGTAAAGTTCAGTAGTACTTCTAGCCACTCCCCATTCTCCACTCTGCTTTTTCTGTATAGATAAAGAATTACAGTCCCCCCTCCAGATTTGCAAATTTGTTATTTGTGGTTTCAGATATTCGCGAGTTGGCCATGAACAATTAAATGGTAGTACAACGAGTAAGCCAGAAATATATACACAATACTGAAAAAGATTTGGATTACATATAATCATATACAAATATCAGTGTTATTTAATATTTGTTAGTGTATGTGCATACTATATTTTTAATATTTAAAGTTATTTTTGGTAAAATAAAAAAAATGTGGGATCTACGCATCATGGCGCCGTGCATCTTTGTCTCGGCTGCCCGACGCCGTTACCTGCTAGCTGTCCCTGTGAGCGTTTTATTCATAAATTGTCACATTCAAGGGGATCTTCTGCCCCCAAGCGTCGTGAATGTGAGAGGTGACTATTAATAGAATGGCCTGCTCGCTGCTGTAGCATGCTAATGTTGCATGTTAGCTCCTTTGGATCAAGGGCAGTACTATTAGCAAACACCTGCAGCCTTGAAGCACCAAATCTCTGCAGTGCAGGGTCCCCGAGTCTTTTTTTTTTACAGCTGGAAGAAGCTACAACCCAGAAACCAACTTGCCAGAATACAGGCTTATTAACTTTATTAATTAAAGCTAAAAGTTGTGTGAATTGGAAGCGGCACATAAACTCACCCCAGGGGAATCTGGTTGACGCGGTCTGAAAGGTTCAAAGAGATCAAGTGATCCAAAGCCCAGACTACATCCACCATGTGATCGCCATGTCCAGGCACAAACACCCGGCAGGTCTTACTGAAAGAGGAACCTGCAAGACAGTGCCTGCACATGTATGGAGGGTTCCCTTCATGCTGGCAGTGTTACACACGAGGTTCCCTAACTGCAGATATATTATTTGCCATGTGCACAAGAACACAGGAACTCTTTGGTTTTCACAGCCCCTTGTAGAAAAAAAAGAGTCTGAGCTGAAAATAAATATTTTTTAAACCTTTTGAAACTTCATGATTGTAAAGTACACATAATAACATTTCAATAGATCAGTTGGTGTTTTGACCAAGGAACATGTGAAATCATTTGTCATTTTTGTTGCAAAACAACTACACAATGTAACGTGTTAATGCTTCCTTTGTTTTACATTTATTAGTGAAATCTTAGCACCAATAAACGAAAAACACTGCAGTGTTTGGAACCCATGCTACTATAGAGGAACATGACTTTTTACAAAAAAAAAAGCTGAGATGGTCGTTCTCTGACAAGACCGCAACAGAGAAGGCTGACGGACACACAGGGAAGAAAGACTTCATCAAGAACACTGTGTATAATTTTGGTCGCTAAATCTCCTTAAGAGAACAATAAGATCACTCAAAACAGTTAAAATGTTTAGAGCAGAAAGATATTAAACAGATCTTTAAAATTATCTCCCTAGTACGATACACAGTGCTCATAGAATGTCTTGGCATGCTTGCTTAATTCAGTAAAAATGTTGCTGATTTATTGGTTTTATAATAAAGGTCCATTGATAAGCAATGTATAACATATCTGCATGTTATCTTTGGCACAGACAGTTTCTTTTTTATTAAGTTTCAGAATTTTTTTGACTGAATCATTCAGTTCTGTTCTTGCCATTTTGCTATTAATTGCAGTTGTAGTCTTCGGCTCCCAATGGATACTAAACACAAATGTTTGGTGTTTTATGTTATTGCAAAGGTGTTACTAATTAAAAAGCACCCAATGATGAAACTGCTTGTCAATGAACTTTTTAATAGTTTTAGAACTATAATTTTGGTTTCAATTTATTACTACTTGAAATGAACATTTTACTTGAAACTATTGGTTGTTTCTAATGTGACTTTTAAAAATAGACATTTTAAAATCCTGGTTTAATCCTGGCTCTGCTGGCAGAAGGCTACACTGAGCAGCAGGTTGCTTCCAGGTTCAAAATTTCTAAGACAGCAGTACATAAGAATGAGGAGAACCAGGAGACACAGGGAATGATCAGAAACCAGCCAGGTAAAGGGCCGGAGCGACTCTCTAATGCCAGAGATGACCATTAAATTATCCGACAGTTTCTCATGAATTGGAGGATGACATCCTAGTCTTATACGCAGGACTGTAGTCCCATAAAGTAAGGAAGCAGAGAAGAAGCAGGGTGGAGTATGAAAAAAATGTACATTTTACACAGTGAAACTAATTGTGCTGTGGTCTCTTCATTTTTTCCAGAGCTGTGTTTGCGTGTATACAGTTGTGTTCAAAATAATAGCAGTCCAACATCACTAACCTGATCAATCACTGTTTTTAGTAGAAATTATATTTCTACATGGCAAATAATTTACTAGTAGGTGTAGTAGAGTAATGGAATACCAACAGACCCAACAGTCATGACATGCATGCTGCTGATTCTGTGTAACTGAATCATTCATTGAAAGGGGCGTGTTCAAAATAATAGCAGTGTGAAGGTCAATTAGTGAGGTCATTCGTTCTGTGAAAAACCAGGTGCCAATTATGGGCGTTATTTAATGAAGGAAGGCAGCAAATGTTGTACA